GGCCTTTCCTCTGCTCTTGAGGAGAGAGGGAGCTCTCTGGTGTCTCTTCCTCCTATAAGAACATTGACTCTATTGGATCAGGGCCTCACCCTCGTGACCTCATTTAACCTTAATCACCTTCTTAAAGGCCCTGTCTCCAAATCCAGTCACATTGGGGGTTGGGGCTTTGTGTGTGTGTGTGAGGGGTGGGGTGGGGACACAAGTCAGTCCATAAGAGCCTGGAAAAAGCATACACTCAATAACTGGTAACTATTATTATCACAAGATTTGATATCAGAAGACCTGGACTTAAGTCCTGGATCCATCACTTCCTGACCCTGTGATCTTGGGGAAGGTGCTCAAACTCCAAGCCTTAGTTCTCCTTCTGCAGAATGGAGAGGATGGCAGTACTCATTGCACAGGGCTGCTGTGACAGTGAGTGGCAGAGCACGCTTAAAAGCACTTGGTTAAAATAGAAAACAGAAATGCTCTACCAGTAGGGGTGAGATTGCTCTTGGGACTGGTCTCACTCCCCGGGCAGCAGGGAACTTGGCACTGGGTGACCCAGATACTGTCATTAAAGCTTCTTCAAGTACTGCAGAGTCCTAGGTCCAGCTCTTCCTGTCCCACCCTACCACCATCCTTCCCCATGTGGTTTTCATGCTGTGATTTCAGTATCTTTCAGAATAAACAGCGAAGACTTCTTGCTGGAAGTGCAAGTGAGGGATCGGCCACGCTGGCTCCTGGTCTGCCATGAGGGCTGGAGCCCCGCCCTGGGGCTACAGGTCTGCTGGAGCCTTGGGTATCTCAGGTAACAGGAGTCAGATGTGGGTCCTGTGAAGGGGGAGGCCTGGCTGGCTGGCGAAGGATGGGAGTTGGAGACCTCTATCTGCCCATCACTGGTCAATGTGCTCAGGAAATGTCAAGAGGTCTTTTTGGCCATCTTTTGGCCTCTGGGCACAATGGTACCCCAGCCCATTTCTCTGTTTGGAGTATTACTGCTTTTTAACAAGCATAAATCCCAGCAGTAGTCATTATCACAGTCTTGTGGTTACTATACTAGTATTATATCTTGTACACATTCCAGTTATGATTTCCTCCTGTTCTATTCCCCTCCTCTGCCAAGACTCACTCACCACAAGGGAGTAAACCTCACTGACATCAAACTCAACAGCTCCCAGGAGTTTGCTCAGCTCTCTCCTAGACTGGAAGGCTTCCTGGAGGAGGTGTGGCAGCCCAGGTAGGACTACTGAGGTGGTTAGGTGAGTGGGTTCCCTTACTTCCTGGTGGTCAGTCCAGCAAAAATCTCCTTTCTTGGGATCCTGGTGGTGAGGACGTTGGTGGCCTAAGATAGGAGGACAAAGAGAAACATTTCCTAATCAGAAATTAACAAACTCAGTTCACATGAGCCCTGTCTGTCACCACTTCACATCTGCTATTTGCCCTTCACAGGAAATGTAGGGTTGGTTATCACTGTAACAAGATTTGAAATGGTACTCGTTGCCATTTTACAGGTTAGGACACTGAGGCTTAATAAGTTTAAAGGGTCTTGTCCAAGGTCACATAAGTAAGCAGCAGCCAAGTCAAGCCTTGAAACCAGGCTCCTGTCTCCAAGCTCAGTGCTCTCTGAATCCTGTCACACATTATTTGGATAATTTGGATATTTCAGGAGAGAGATGGTTGAGTTGCTCTGGCTAAGAGTTGCTTGTAGTCTGGAGAGTCTCCCAGAGAAGAGGGCTGTGGAATGGAGCAGCCCCTTCGCCAGATCCTGGGGATGGTCTGGTGTGACTGGGGCACAAGCAGAGAGGGTCTTTGCACCTTCCTAGGCTTTCTCAAGCTGCCTATCAGCCTCCTGGGATAGATGGGTGGGCACCCCCATTACCACGTTTCCAGTTTGAACTGTTCCTTCAGGCCCCTCCTGTCCAGCTCCTATGCTCAGGAATGTGGCTGGAGATGGGAAGGTTCTGACTGGGTTCTTGTCTTGGATACCTGAATGGGAAAATGGAAGTAGGGGTGGGGCTGACTCCTCCAGGAGAGCCAGGAGGGCTGTGTATTTGGGAAACTAGGAGACACTAAGAGGGTCTAGACATTGGGCTGCTAGGGGCAAGAGGTGAATAAATAAAGAGAAGAGAGTTTGGGTCAAAAAAGCAACTAAGAGCTAAGAGAGAAAAGG